GGCAGAGTTTTTTACGCATGCCTGGTTAAGAAAAAAAGTTTCTTTGTATAAGTGGCTTTCGGCGTGCAAACAAAATCGGCATTTTTTTAAAAGCAAAGGACGCGTTTTACAGCTGGGTGGTAATGTATGCAAGTATTTTCAATAAAAGAACATCATAGAATGACCCCAGGATTAGTTCTGAATGTTTGGCGTCCTCGCACGGTCTACAACTTTGAAGAGACTATAAGCTCGCTCCACGATGACTCGTCTTGCTGTTCTAGGAATTTTGCTGATCGTTTTTCTTGCAAGCATTGATGCTTTCCCCAAAAATAGGCTTGATGTACGAGGTAAGTTTATTCGTAAAAAAGATGTGTTTGATTACCTATATCGAAAAATCTGGAATCAAAGTTCTCCAATCAGTAGTTACACCCTTCTCCTAGGTTAGAGTGAAACGATGGATTCGCAAACTTAAACACACCTCTACCGCGCCCTGCAGTCGAATTTTAGCTCCTGCAGTTTTACTGGATGCAAAAGATGTTTTAGGTTTAAGCTCAAATCATCCAAATTGTGAGCTAAATTAAAAACAAGATAAATTATGTAAGCGAAGTTAAAATGATTGTTTCTGAAACAGCTAGCCAGGCTGTTTCCTTTGCTTGTTTAATACGATTAAGCCGATCTCATAGTTTGGAGTAAGCATCAAAAATATATTTGCGATTTATTTCCTTGCTCAGTGGTGTCTAACGTAATGGAATTTTAATTGACTTAGAGCATTTACGCCAATAAAGAAATTAATCGAAGAGTTTTATAGACCCCTCTGCCTAGAGACTTCTGTTCTGTCAATTTTTTTTGCATACGTAGTCGTGAGTCGTCGAATAAGATCGAATCCATGATTTGCAGACGAAAAATGCGAAGCCAACCCACATGATAATTTAGGGCGAAGAACATACTTAATGGCTGTTCAACCGGAAAGCTTATGCACTGAGCTGTGTTAGCTGACGCGATTTCTCTTAAAAAACACAAAAAGAAAAGAAAGATTTTAATAGTGATTACTTGCTGAAAAGAAGATGATTTTAAATACTACATTTTTCAACTGGACCGTAAGGAAGCATGAAGTTGAAGATTGACTCAGCAAACCAGTATTGTTCTTTTGGGTGTGCCGAGCTCTTTTCAATTTTCTCTTATGTCATGGTTAAATTATCAGGAGTCGCGTGTTTGGAGGACTGGTGCGAACGACATAAAGAATTGCAGGGGTAGGGTAGCCAACAGAGTAAACGATCGCATATTTCGAATGACCAGTGGTCCCGATCCGTGGCCCTAATTTCGGGTTTTATAACATCCATTTTAAAATCACTGATAATCCTTATAATCTTATTAACTCTCAGCAGAACGATTTCTTCACAAATTGCATTACTGTTTGCTCTAAATCACAAGCCATCGTGTGGCAATTTTGTAACATTTTTTTGTCCCCAAGAATTTTCGTTTTCTTTCACCGCTTCTTTTTTAACAAACCTGCTCAGTAATAGATCAATAAAATATTTGTACTGACCAGAATCCTGTATCTGGGCGAATAAATTTTTCAATTTCAAAATGGATGTAATAAAGGTAATTTTGGTCCGATATCATTCTCATAATCTCAAGTAATGAAAAGGACGTCAGAGCGTTCAATTTATCTCTGTAACAAGACAAAATAAACAAATTTACCCATAAAGTAACCAACACCACGAGAGGCTAAGGTTTGGGAATTAAAGAACAATTTGACTCAGAATGCCCGAAATTTTAACAGGGACAATGACAATAATGAATGATATGGACAAATAACACGCGAGGAAACCTTCAATTCACATAAACTTGATTTTCAGAAGGGTTCTCATTGAAATAAAGTCTACGAAACTTCCGAGCAATGACATTTAAAATAGAAACCAGCAATCTAAAAGTGCGAAAAAGCTACGAAACGTAACATTCGGCAACAAAAGCCTGCGGTTAGAATTTAAGGGAAAAATCAACGAGCAACCTTGACTTCTCCATTCATAGGAAAAAGGTACAAAGTTGAACAGGCATAATGACGAGCTGAGAGTAGCCTGATGACAAAGGAAGCAACTCTGACAACTACTTGTATTCTCTACATCATGCTCGTAGTTGACCTGCAGAAATTTCAAAGGCTTTCTTGCATAGGTGAAAGGCAATAGTGCTAAATTCAGCCGTAGTAGCAACGAAGATTACTTTCACATCGAAAAAAGAAAGATTGGTCGAGTCGCTCGTTACCTTTGTATTCGGAAAGACAGAGCCTAACATACTCTCACAGGCAGGGGTCGCTTGGCCTTAAAATTGCTATTTCCCTAGCTTCGGAAGAATTTTCAGTTTAGTTTTGGAAGTCAATCCACGGCTGCATTGCTTTTGCCACATTACACTCATTACACTCTGTGATTGGTTACAATACCATTCAGAAGAGAAACTGAATCAGTCGTCGATCTGCTACCAACGTTTTCTTCCCATAAAGCCAATTACCTGGGTTAAATTTGAGTTTCCTTTGGTTTATCTGTTGATGGTTAGGATAACGTTGAGTTTTGTGTCAAGATTCTTTTTCAACGCTCGAGAAATTAATTTGAAAACTTTATGACCTGTGTTACTCAAGTAAAAAATGTTTTGTTATTATATTGAAGGGAAACTCGGAAGCGAAAGCAAAGTGTATAGAGGACAGTTATCCCTGAAGAATGTAGATCAGCGCCTGTCTGAAATTGAAAGAATTAAGATGATGATGGATGAGATAGAGAAAGAGGAAGTGAGCAATGATGAAGCCGAGGAGGAGAGTGGAGAGAAAGAAGAGGAAGAAGAACAAGAAGAAAAAGGAGAAGAGGAGGAAGAAGAGGAAGAAAAAGAAGGAGAAGAGGAGGAAGAAGAGGAAGAAAAAGAAGGAGAAGAGGAGGAAGAAGAGGAAGAAAAAGAAGGAGAAGAGGAGGAAGGAGAGGAACAAGTAGAAGGAGAAGAGGAGGAAGAGGAGGAAGAGGAGGAAGGTGAGGAAGAAGAGGAAGAGGAAGAAGAAGAAGGTGAGGAGGAAGAAGAGGAGGAGGAAACGGAAGGTGGAGAAGAAGAAGAGGAGGAGGAAGAAGAAGGAGAAGAAGAGGAAGAGGAGGAGGAAGAAAATGGTGAGGAGGAAGAGGAGAAGGAAGAAGAAGCTGGCAAGGAAGAAGAGGAAGAGGAAGAAGAAGAGGGTGAAGAAGTTGAAGAAGAGGAAGAAGAGGAGGGTGAAAAAGAAGAGGAGGAAGAGGAAGAGGAAGGGGAAAAAAATGAAGAAACAGAAGAAGAAACCGGAGAGGAGGAAGAGGAGGAGGAAGAGCAAGAGGGAGAAAAAATGGAGGAACAAGAAGAGGAAAAAGGTAAAGAGGAGGAGGAGGAAGAAATAGAAGAAGGAGAAAAGGAGGAAGAGGAAGAAATAGCACAAGGCAAAAAAGAAATGGAGGAAAAAATAAAAGAGGGCAAAAAAGTGGAAGAGGCAGAGATAGAGGAAGGTGAAATGGAGGAAGAAAAAGAAATAGAAGAGGGCAAAACCCAAGAAGAAAAAGAGATTGAAGAGGGTGAAAAAGAAGAGGAAAAGGAAATAGAGGAAGGTAAAAATGAGGAGGAGAAAGAAGAAGAGGAAGGTGAGAAAGAAGAAGAGGAGGAGGAAGAGGTTGGTGAGGAAATGGAGGAGGAAGAGGAAGAAAAGGGAGAAGAGCAGGAAGAGGAAGAGGAGGAAGCGGGAGAGAAGGAAGCTGAGAAGGAAGAAGAGAAGGGAGAGGAGGAGGAGGAAGAAGAAGAGGAAAAGGGTGAGGAGGAGGAGGAAGAAGAAGAGGAGGCTGGTGAAGAAGAGGAGGAAAAGGAGGAAGAAGAAGGTGAAGAGGAAGAGGAGGAGGAAGAAAATGAAGGTGAAGAGGAGGAAGAGGAAGAAGAAAAGGAAGGAGAAAAGGAGGAAAAGGAGGAGGAGGAGGAAGGTGAAAATGAAGAGAAAGAGGAGGAGGAGGCAGGTGAAATGCAGGAAAAAGAGGAGGGAGAAATGGGTAAAGATGAGGAGGAGAAGGAGGAAGAAGAAGGTGAAAAGGAAGAAAAAGAGGAAGAAGAGGAAGGTGAAGAAGAAGAGAAAGAGGAAGAGGAAGAAGGTGAAAAGGAAGAAGAAGAGGAAGAGGAAGAAGGTGAAAAAGAAGAAGAAGAAGAGGAGGAAGAAGGTGAAGAAGAAGAGGAAGAGGAAGAGAAAGAAGGTGAAGAAGAAGAGGAAGAGAAAGAAGGTGAAGAAGAAGAGGAAGAGGAAGAAGAGGAAGGTGAAAAAGAGGAAGAAAAGGAGAAAGAAGGTGACCATAGAAAGCGCTCATCTAAACGTCTTGCACATACCCAAAAAAGGTTAAACAAGGGAAGATTCTACAAGAGGCAAAGAATGAACTGAACTCTTAGCTACAAATTTCTTAAAAACGCTCTTAAGTCTAGCAAACATTATGAACTCTGCTGCAAGTAATATTTACTAATTTGTTCACTGCATGACATTTTTAAGCCAAAGACATATCTGAGAAGATAACTAGGTCACTTCCTACACTTTCTTTAACTGCTCATCCGTGAGTGTGTTAGCACATTAATGGGACTTATCCCTAAAAAAAATGAAAACGGATAGAGTGGAGTCCCAGCATCTTAATCACATGGAATTTAAAAGACAGGTATGAGCTAAAAAAGTTCAAAATTTCAAGGGTTAAATTACAGTGATATAAGTCTTAAAAGGGTACATCAGTACATGGAATCACAGTTTATTCACAACAATTGGAATTGGGATCATGGGGCTCCACTGTATGCACTTATTGCAACAATTGAGAGTTTTTTAAAACTAAAAAAAAAAAGGATGAGTTAATTACATCCTCAGCAGTCAAGTTGAAAAGGTCTGCTCTGTCCAATTCAGAGGTGAGGATGTAAAGGCACCTCAGAAGAACATCACAACATTGCCTTTCATCAAACCTTCAAGGTTTGCACTAGCTAATCGATAAGTTCAATTCTATTTTTTTTTTGAAACAGAATTGCAATTATGTGTACCTGAGACATACAATAGAAACACAAAACAAACCAAAATTCATGGTACAGATACAGCTACAGATATCCATGTATTATTGTCCCTTCAGTTAATTTTTCATTTAAACAAAAAAAAAATCCATGTTTAAGCAGTAGATGTCTTTTTTTTGATATATCTTTGAAACCTTTGACAGTTTTGCTCTTCAGTTAATGTTCACTTGTTTGATTATACTGGTAAAAACCAAAATATTTTGCAACCTTTGGCAGCTTTTATTTTAAAAATTGCACCTAAATTTGCATTAAGTTAACTTTCTGAATTTTTTTTATTTGAATTGTAACATAATTAAATAACATTTTTAAATAAAATCTGGTTTAGTCTCTTTTTTGTGGAAAAAAATGGGACAAGATCCTGGTGGGAAGAATGTGACAGTATTTGAGCAAATGCAAAATGAAAACCCAAATCTTAGAAGGAAAATGAATTTGAAAAGGCTAGTCACTTGTACTATAGGAGCTTATTGCATTTTCCAAAACATTAAGTAACAAGATATTTTGTAAAGGCTGCCGGTGCCAATCCAAGACAGGTTACCTCAAACCATTTTCAACAATTTTTTCCACTCAGTTTTTCTGTTACCCACTCATACTTCTTGATAGAAAAGAGCATTATCAAAGTAAAATTTTTGCCCAAAGCACACCACAATGAATAGGTCTCAAAACAAGATCTATCAATCTAGAGTCCAATAACACTTTTACTTAACTTGTGAAATGAATACTCAAATTCAGTCTATCATTTTTTTTGCCTGAAAAAAATTTGAAGTGTGGTGTTATAACTACAGTTGGTTTGTTACTCGAAAAATAAGTTGTATGCTCTTAACAGTTGGGAATGTCAGAGGAGAATAGGCTAAATCACCCAGGAAAATCTTAGTTAGTTCATATCCATTATAGGTTGTTAATATCTGAAAAAAATAGATGACTCTTCACAAAAATACTACATGAGAGAACAAAAAATATAGAGAAATTGCAGCTACAACATCTTCAGTCTTCACCCAAACTAAACTGTGGAAGACAGAAATTATAAAAAGAATTTGATTTGAAAACATCATTATAGCTCTTCCATTGAACCCAGCCACTGTCTTGGATTTCTTTCATAGCAGCCTCTCCATAGAAATGTGGATCCTGCAACAAACAAATCTTTTCCTTCAGTTTGATGATATTCAACGGCACTTTCAAAATCAACTTTTTTCTTTCTCTTCTATATGAACCAGACAGAAAAGGGGAAACAGCCAGTGATTATTGACAGATGAAAAAATATCTTACAGCAATTAAGAAGTGAAATGCTTTGTTTGTCTTGCAAACACCAAGCAGTGTCTTGGATGAAGCATCAACATCTCCACCTAGAAACAGAAATGAAATTTAGAAAGCAAAATATTTGCAAAAGTCAAAAATAGAATGGCTAGATAGTAAAATTTTTGGACCACTCCAAGTTAAAAAGAACTCTTTTTCAAAGCAATTTCTTTTTTCCTTGTTCCAGGGGCCTGTTTCTTGCAAGTCCCAGTAACTTAGCAGCCCCAAAGCCATGTTTTAAAATCAAAATTTAAGGATTAGAAATGCAGGTTGTGGCTTCCTAACCAGTCCATTTTGTTTCCTTGGCTGATGGTTTTATTTAACAATTTTCAAAACTTTTGACACCCCTTTCATGAATGAAAACAGTATAACCTTACAGGCCCATTAAGTCACTGAAACTTTCCAGAAACAGGCACCTTGTTCAAGCCCTCTGCCCTATTGCTCACTGGATTAGTTCTCAGATATCCAAAGACTAATTCATTAGCTTAGCTTGGTAAACAGCTAAATGGTCTTCCCACTGTCAGTTGGGGTTGTTTCTTTCAAATATATTTTACAGTGGCGTGAGAAGAGCCTTATAAGGGGAGTGATCAATTAAGTTATTAAGGGGAAAAAAACTAAATTAAACACATCTAGTCACTGGTCAAGGGGGTATAAATATTAGAATATTCTCAAAGACGTGTATCATTATTGCTCTACAATGCAACATACACAGTCAATAAACCCTCATGATAAGGCACACTTGTACACATGCCATACCCCTAATGTGGATGTAAATTGCTGGAAAAAATGTCCATCTTTTGATGAATGACATCTCAGAGAAGTTTCAATAGACTTGGAAAATACAGTTTTTGCTATTATATCATTTAACCAATCAAACAACAACTTGCCTGGCTAGTTTATGAGTATGTTAAGAACCATATTAACAAACATGGAGTTGTTAATGGACTTAAAAGGCAACTAATGCTTGATCCACTAAAGCGCTATCACGAAGTATTACAATCTGTTTAAATATTCTGTTGAAATCATAACTTTACCTATCATTACAGGTGAACCAAAATGTTTAAAATGTTCCAGAAGAAATGGTGCAGCTTTGTGCTCCACAGATTCCCCTTGTAAAACATGAATGATCTTACTGCAAACCTGAAACAAGATCATCAGCATTATCAATTACTGGCAACCTTTTTTATATCTTTTCAAAAAGGATACCAGTTCAGGACTGGAAACAAAATTTCAATTCTCTGGTAGTAAGCTTAACAGAGCATAGCAAAAAATAAAATAGCAAACTGAAATTCTTAAGCTAATCTTCACTATTTGCCAGCCAGGTTGTCTATAATCCATTTATCCCCCTTAATGAGTACTTGCCACACTCCTTTTTGCCAACAAATTTTATAAAAAAAATCAGGGGTGCAGCTTATCTGGAAGAACATCTAGAAGATGTGGGGCTAATTTGCATAAATCAACTCTATTCAACAAAAATTTGCAAGTCTGTTTAACACTCTAGCTAATGGTATATAGACAACAGTTTTCTTTGCTATATTTGAACCTTGAGCACTATATTAATTGTACGAGATATGTTGTACAGATAGGAAGGTCTTTTGGCCTAAACTTTTAGAAATACAAACATTTTGTCCATCTGCAGTTTTGCTGACTTCTTCTCCAAGGAAAAATCTTTATGATTATTTAACCTGTTTTCACTTTTGTTACTTAAAATTAAAATGCCCATAAACACCATCACTTTACAACATTACTCAGCAAAGCTGGAAATGCAAAGCAGCCACACATAAAACACCACAAACATTGATAGTTACCTACTCCAAAAGTCTGATCCATGTAGAGACAGGCCTCTACACAGCCAATCCATTCTCTTGATCCCACAAAAGAATCTGGTTTGTCCCCCATTTTGACCAAAGTCTTCTGTATGTCTTGAAGGCTGGGCACTGGATGATTCTGAATCTCTAATACATGACCCACCCAAGAACAAATGGTCTGCAGTGTCCTATATCCACATCCCCAACCCTTCAATACAAGCACAAAACATTTCAATGGCATATAAATATGACTCATCACTTACTGGGGGAGAGGGAAAGCTGGTAACAAAGAGGTACTTAGGAGAGTGGATTTAGCAGGGGGGTCATGAAAACATGCCCTTCACGAGAGGGAGGGTCAGGGCTATTTGAAATTGGCTATTTTTACCAGTCTTCCTCCTATTTGTGAGCTTTTAGCTACATGAGTCATGAAAAGCACTTTCAACCACAAAAAAAAGACTGACAAAAATAGGGACCGTTTTCTAGAACTCACCCACTCAGTTTTACATTTCTCAACCACAAGGTTGTGTCTTTCATGCATACACAAGCAATTCATACAAATATGGTAAAATCATGTTAAAAAAAAAAAAAGTAAACAATATGTCAAAGTCCAGTCATTTCAATATTTGGGTGTCCTTTATTTACAGGAAAAATGATGATGACATTTGCTACCAAATAAATTATTCTTGATTGGTCATCAATCGACAAATGTAAATCAATGATAATGTCAATGATAAAGTTCGCATTACAGACGCATGCATTTGGGTTATTGTAATATCAATGAAGCTGGAGAGTTTGTGAAAAGACTGGAGTAACCGCAGAATACCCTGCCACTTTGGTCCACGTCATTTACATGTGTCGTGAGGCATAACACAATAGACTTTGTTCTTATTCAATGACATGTAAATGAGTGGTAGGGTATTCTGCAGTTTAGCTAAATCTTTGAAGCATTTTCTCACGTTTTTGAACCAGAGTAATAATTATGCATCAGTATGCTATACGAAAAGCAACCTGTTGTAAGTTTCTCATACACTCACCCTGTCATCGAAACCATCTACGTTGTAATGGTAAAATTCATATTTTCCCCTGACTATGGCAGCATCAACGAAATCGCGGGGAAGCTCTAACCCACTATGCACATCACTCAACATTTCTTATATTGACGCCCGCATACACCAGTGGTGGTGGTCAGTGAAGAAAATATACAATATATGCGCAAACTGTTAAGAGAAAAAAGTCTGGGTGAGGGTAGGGAAATATCTCTTAAGATAGGTGACATTCTTGAAAAAGCCCAACTTACCTCTGTTCCTCTCTATTTTAAGCTGAATTTCCCATTTTATCGATCAAATTTGCTCACAGATTAAAAGGTAAGCCCAGACTTATGACGTCTGTAAAAATGTAGACTTAAGTAGAATTTAACATTACTCACTCTCCCCTACTGGGTAACGTGATGCACGTATTTTTACCACAGATGTGTGTTCGAACTTTCACTTCCCTGCACTTTTTGTAGTCTGTGACTAAGTTTCAATCGGGAAGTTGTCCTTCTACAAACGAGAACAGCCGTCTTTACGGGATTTTTTTGACCAGGAATGGTCAATGCAACGTCTAAAGAAGTAGTTCCAGTTGAAAATGACGAAGAACCAACAATTTTGTGTATCGTAAAGGATGAAACAACTGTCGACAGGAAACAAAACAATCATACAGTGAATCTTCCAGCCTCTACTCTTGTGAAAGATTTGTACGCTTACGTCGCCAAACAAGTAAGCTATGTAGAAGACACCTTCCTTCTCGTGTGGAATAAATTCATTGGTGGAGGTAACGAAGAGGTAGTTCTAAATGATGAAAAGGCGAAGACTTTACAAGAAGTCGGCCTGGCGGCCAACGGGAAAAAGAACAATTTTCTGATCAAAGATAAAGATGGTGAACAACCGAAGAAAACGAAGGTTAGTGAACCATCAAGCCCTTTTCAAGTTATTAATAGTCTTTGGCAATAAAATGGATGATCAAGCTGATCGCGAGAAGGTTTTGAATCTTTTGCGCAATCAATGAGAAGCTTCAATACAATAAAATGTATAAATTTACCTTCCTGAACTTCTGAATGTAATGCGAAATACGTAAAAACATCATGATAACGGGCATTTGCTCAAAAAATGGTTCATCAACAAGTGCTTTGTGTTTCATTTTGGCGAAACGAAAGATATTAAATTATGTTTGCTGCAATGCATGGCGAACAGAATCGAAGATAGGATAACTACAAAAAAATGCTACGTTCTTGTAGTTACATGCAGGAACTGGTAAAGTTGATGTACAAGTTTCCGGTGCCTCTTAGATTACTGAGGTTTTCGTATTTTACTCAAGGGTGTGTAATTAGATCTGTCTTGGTTTGATTTACATAGGTGCGGAAAGCTTTAGAGTAGAATTCGCTCTATTAAAAAAAAAAGAAGGTATATTGGAGTATAGTTGAACCATATACACGAACAGTGCATAGTAGAATTTGACAAGAAATCAAAATTTGCAACAGATCTTACACTTAGAAAAACAGTTTGATCTTTGGATTACATCACTTGAGTTATTTCTGTAATATTATCCAGTAAGTAGTGTCAGCTAAACTGTTGTCTCTAATTACATTGAAGAATTGACAATCTGTCAAAAATTACTGCATTTTGTTGGCAAAAGTCAATATTTCAATGACAATTTCGTATAAACTAGTGACAAGGGAATTCATCTTCCATCTTGATTTATATTTGATTGATTATACTAAGATTGTTTCAAAAGAGAAAACAAAATGTCATTTGCAGATATCCTCTCATTGTCATCCAAAATGTAATTCAACTTTACACATATGTGCAGCAAACCAATAATTGTACTCCTGGCACTTTTCACTCATCGTCCTAGAGGGTCAGAGGTCAAGAAACAGTTAAGGGTGTGATTCAGTTAGCTAAGATTTCCTCAGGTCTCAACCTAAAAAAGATGGTCAAAAGTGATCTCAATTGATAAAGGGGACTTTTTCTTTGAAGCTTCAAGTTAGATTATCCAATCTATTTAGTTTTAAACCAAAATACTTGTTGTGAATATTTTATGTGGATCAATTTGACCCTGATTAGGCAGTTGGAGTTTGTAAATTGGTGGAGATTTATACGTCAACTTAGTTTTTATTTCTCGTAGTGTACTATTTAAGTTTATTTAAGATGTGGTTCTGTTCAACACATTGAGATTTGAAAAATTAAATTTTGTCCAATCCTTTGAGGACAGTTCAAGAGAAAGACAATTCATGGAGGGTTAGCAAGGCTTAAGTCTGAGCCTTAGTCAGGTCACTGTGAAACACTCTTGAGTGAGACACTTTTGTCTCCCATCGCTTTTTTCCACTCAGGAGTCCATTAAATGCCAACTGGCAGATTATCGTGTAAACTTAATGACTCAATACAGGGTAGCCTGCAATGGACTAACCCCTTATCCTAAAGGAAAGAAGCAGTACTACTACCGACTGAAAACCCCACAAGCTCCAGCCAGATAGATCATGGGGGTTACTTGCTGACTTTACCTGTTGCCTTGCAGGAGAATGATGATGATGATTCAGTTACAGGGAGTGTCACCAACCTGTTCCAAAGCAATTCTAGCACTTCAAGTAGTTATTATTCCTCCTCCAGTGATAGTTACACTTTGGGAAAGTCTGAAACAGGTTAGGGTTCAGGATGATTTTTTTTATCAGTTGGATATGCATAATTTAAATATAATTGGATCTAGGCAACCACGCAGTCATCCGCAGTTTGGAGTATTGTACCTGCAGAGGGGGGAAACTTGGGAGATGCCTACCTTTTTTTGTTGCTACCTTAAGGGCACTTACACTGTTTCCTCCAATTCTACCGACCAAATCTTTTAAATGGGGCTCACTGTAATTAAGGCCAGGTTAACACCAAATCAGTGCAAAAGTTCTCTGAAAGGATGTCAAGAGTCCAAGTGAGGTTTGTAAAGGGCATTGCACATGCTTTTGCATGGTTTGCTTTGCTGCTGAATGTAGGAGAATAGCACAAAAATACAGGAGAATGTATGACAAAACAGCTCCACCTGTAAAGAAGAAAAATTCAGGATACATCATGAGCACCCTAGGCCTTAACCAATAATGTCCTTGGTAGACATGTCACTTCTAATGGGTACTGCATGACAAACTTTTCCTTTAGTTACAATTGAGTCTGCCACTGGTAAACTGTTTACTCTATTTGTTGAATACAGGGTTTGTTGGTCTTGTAAACCAGGCAATGACATGCTATTTGAACAGTCTACTACAGACATTATTCATGACCCCAGAATTTAGAAATGCTATATACAGGTTTGTGCGGATAATTCTCAATACATGTAATTACTGATAAAACTTTTAGTAATGATTCTTGCTGGTGTGAGTGAGAATTGAAGAAAAAGTTAACTCTTTGAGAGTAGAGGCTTGTGAGTTTTGCCTTGCCACATAATTTCCAAGCTAAAGGATAAGAAATAATTCCACATCATTGTTTGTAGTTTTGATTGTTCAAAACTTGCAAAATGTTCTCCACATTTTTTAGTCATAAAAGCATTAAAACTTAATTGCCCCTCTAAAAGGACAGAAACAATTAAGCCATAGCCAGTTATAGCTGTTTCTTAGAACAAGTCAACTTGTTCCATGTCCAACTGGCCAGATCTGACTGATGGAAAAAAACAGTTGGTTATTGTATACCAACCCATTTTAAATATTTTTCAAGTGAATGGATGAAGTAAAGATGTTACCAGTATGTCTCATTTGAAAGTATTGTTCTCCAAACAATCAATGAATGATGAGGTTAGGTGTTCTTGGACATTTTAAGGGGCTTCTACTAACTTTCAGGATTCATAGCCAGAAATTCTAGCATGTGTTTAGTTTGTACTATCTGTCATTGGACCTTCTTAAGTCAGCAAAACACAAAATAAGGAAGAGTTTTTAATAATTACAATTTCATGTCAACATTGTTTTCACTTGTTATTTGCTGCTTCACATATTTACATTTCCTCGCTCTATTATAATCATGAATATAGTGTTCAATGTAATAGACTTTGTTAATGATTGATGTAATAAATGTAAATAAACATTTAACATCTTAGGTGGGAGTTCATTGGAAATGAAGATGAAGCAGCCAAGAGTATTCCTTACCAACTTCAAAAGCTTTTCCTCCATTTACAGGTACCAGTGGTACAACATTGATTTACTAGATAAATTCCCAATTTGTGTGTTTAACCTTATGACTCCAAGAGTGACCAGCATCTAATATCACCCCTGAATCACTTTTAAAGGTCATGAGAAAAAGGAAATGATCACCAACTGAAGAAGTTTGTGATTGTTAAACAAATTCTCCTTGTTGGCATCTTAGGAAATGTACAGAGATCAGTATGGAGAATAAGCATTTTGATGTTAGGGTGTGAAGGGTCAATGAATTTAATTATATTTATCTTGATGTTCAACAATACAATCCTTTTCCGTGAATCCGGATAACTATTTTAACATTTTTGTCAGAATGAATGACTGAACGGTACCTTTTTATTTTTCAGACGAGTTCCAAGAGAGCTGTAGAGACTACTGATGTTACCAAGAGCTTTGGATGGGACAGTAGTGAGGGTATTGACTTGTGAACTATTTTTACATGATTACAGACCACAGTTTAGGTTTGAAGTTATTTTTGTTGTCTCTTAATTTTAGCATGGCAACAGCATGATGTACAGGAGCTGTGCAGAGTCATGTTTGATGCTCTGGAAAGCAAGTTTAAAAATACTGATCAGGTAAATAAATATTATTAGTAGTATGGTAGATACGTAAGCAACCAGGGATGTAGATTTGAATAGATAAAGTAGAAAAAGAGTTGATCATTAAATTATTTTAATTAGTAAGTCAATATCTTGAATGAGAGTAAATGGAATTTCCAGGGGTTGAGTTGATATGAATTAGCTGGAAATGAAATATTTCTGCAGCACAGGAGCAGTGGGGACTGGGGCAGTTGAATTGCAGCATGGGTAGCATGGAGTGCTATAAAAGGGATGCTTATCACATGGGAAAGCATTCTAGGCCAACACCTCATCTTACTCACATTTTTTAGTATATATTCAATTTACTAGTCACAGTTTGAGTTTTGCAGGGGTTTCTTAGCTTGTTTGCATTTCCTAAAATTATCTAGAGTTTTCTGTGCTTTGTTGGAATACATGTTTAGTAAATAAGGGCAAAGACCTTCCAGCCATGTAGCCTTTGTTGGATGGGCTTTTCAGAGCATGAGCCATGGATCCTACACAGATTTCTTACCAAGCTTTTTTTTTTCCCCCTATTAGGGTTTTTTCCAGCAGGTTTTTTCTGGCCTCTGTTTTGACAGTATTCTGTGTAAACTGTTGCTCGGCTCTGTTCTAGTTTTTCCACCACATGGTTGAATGTTGTTGATTGTTTTGGTTTATCAAATGCCCAATCTAGGTGCTTGCTTAAAGTGATTGTGGAATTTTTATGTCATTACCCATTGAATGAATGCACTCAATGGTTCAGGAGTTTGACTTAGGGATTGCACTCCATTTCCAAGAAACTAAGCTTCTTTGTTTGCCTACAGGATGATCTAATTAACAAACTGTATCAAGGGAAGCTTAAGGACTATGTTAAATGCCAGCAGGTATGCCTTTAACTCCTCATCAGTGTTCTCCTTTCATGTGTTTACCAGTAGAATTTACCACCTGTATGTATGCCTAAAATCCCATGGAATTTTTGAACATTAAACAGGTAAAATTACCAGTTTTAAAATTTCATTTACCTGTTGTGCTCAAAATAAGGGAAACCACTGTATAGAGTGCTCTTTTGTGCAGACATGAAATTTAGCTTACTATAAATTATCAGATTCTATTAGTTTTCAGAGTCCTCTAGTATATTTCTCTGAAGGTGTCCCTGATTGGTTTCTCTGTAATTTAGTATATCTTGTGATTCATTTCTTCCATACAGGCTGCATCAGTCTTCCAACTTTAGATCTTAGATCTGAAAATCAATTCCCCCCACAACTGTTATATAGTCATTGATACTAAATTATGATTAATTATATGTAGGTGTAGATTCTCATTTTTCATCAGAGGAGACCTTCATCTGATGAATCTTGAATATCTTTTCAAATCTGTCTGCTTTGACAATGCATGTAGGGAAGGTTATTTATGAATTCATGAAGTAAAAAGGCTGGAAATGAGTGCAGCTTTTAAAAGAAAATGTTGGATTTAATTGTGAAAGTGGATAATTTGCCTTTGTTAGTGTGGCCATGAAAGTGCTCGGACAGACACATATCTAGACATTCCATTAGCAATCAGACCTTTTGGCTCAAAGCAGGCTTTGGGTAGTGTGGTAAGTTAACTCTTCCATTCCAAGTTTAAGTAATGGCACATTATAACACATTCTGTTCTTTATATGTCAAGAATTTTGCCTTTGTAAGTAACTTTAATTAGAAATAATTTAAATTGCATGTAAGTTGTATGTACATATGAGTAATCATCTCATAGTACAAACAAAGCAAACAAAAAATAAATTAGGGAACCTGTTTACCCTTTGACATTTAAGAATGACTTGCTTCTAATTCCTCTTTACAGTATCACTACTAAAATTTAGCAATTTAATCATACACTAAGGACGCAAGAATGAAGGAAATGATGACAAACTAAAGAGGCTCTTGATTATCAAACAAATCTTCTCATCAGCACCTTCGGAAATGTTTAGAGAAAAGTGGATGATATCTAGTTTGATTCCTCATAGGAAATTGCCTTGAAGAGTTTTGTTACTACAGAACTCCTGGAGGGCCAAAATCAGGTAAATTAGGGTGGATTTTTACTTACAAGTGTTAATTTGAAATTGTGCTTTTTTCTTAGAAAAGCTAGGCCTTGTAGAAAATTATTTGCATAATCAATTTTTCTTTTTTCACAGTACTTCTGTGAGAAATGCAATGAGAAATGTGATGCCCGCAAGGCAAGTGATTGCATTGATGTCTGATATGTATTTTGTAATTTACACTTTGTCTCCAAGAAAAGTTAAAGTTTTTATCAAGATTCACTTTTTATTTCAAAATTAATTATTATCATTTACTTGTGAGCACTAAAGACAAAAAATTTGCTGACCCTAGGATACAAAACAAAGAACCTCATATACAGCTTTAACTCTCGTGAGTGACCAAGAATATAGAAAAATATAAAATAGAAGATCATGAGTTGATCTATTACCAAATTCTTTGTACTAACTTGGTGAAAATTATATAGCAGACAGTGAATATAAAGTAGAGGATCATGAGTCGAACCAATACCAAATTCTCAATACCAACTTGATGAGAATTGTATAACAGACAGTATGGAGATTTACAAAAATCAGATCTTGGGAATGAAGGGTTAACATTGAAGTATTTATTAAGTTTGGATAACACAGAATTCTCACGGGTACCAGCAAAATTCTCCAGCTGAATTGTGATTTTCTGTGCTCCTTTTCATTCAGGGTTAGAGAATATTCTTGGCATTCTTTACACTATTCTCTTGCTAGTATACTTGTTGATAATATTCCTGTTATTACTTGCATCTGTGAGCATACTTGTTTATTGGAGATGTAGATTTGCCATTTGCTATTGACTCGGTATTAATAGTTTTTAACCATTAACATGTTGGAAAGGTTATTTAAACACGTAGCTTCCCTCTGAGATTTATTTTAACAGCAAAATACACTGTGCTTAAATTTTTTTTTCTTATAGGGTTTGAAATTTTTATCTTTCCCATATCTTCTGACATTACAACTAAAGCGCTTTGCATTTGACTATGCAACACTTCATAGAGTCAAACTGAATGACAGGTTTGTATTTTACATGGGCTAATGACGTTTGATTTAATGTAACTATGTAGTGTGATTTTTCTAACATACACTGGAAGATTTGTTTTTCATTTACTTCTCTCAATAGAATGACATTTCCCAAATACCTCAATTTGGAAGACTTTATAAGTGAAGATTTGGAGGAGGTTAGTATTAGGCTTGTTGCTGCAGAGTAGAGAATGATATTCATGTTATTCTTTTTACATGAACAATTATAAAAAAATTTAACTAGGGTTTATATAAGTCCTGGAAAACTTGGAAAGTCCTGGAATTATATTTTGACATTTTCTAGGGCTGAAAAGTCTTGGAAATCTGCTTAAATTAAGCAATAAATTTTTCAGAATTTAGGTTATAAGAAATGTATGTAGAACATAAGGAGAAATGATTTTGAAACCTCGGGAACAAAAGAATTTACGGTGAAATTTGGAGCCCTGGAAAAATCTATCTGAGTCCTGGAAAAGTCTTTGAAAAGTCCCTGAAATTTTTTTCCAAAAAAGGGTACAAACACTGTTCAATACCTCTCAACACTGATTTCTATTTATGATGTCAAGAATGATGCAGATGAAGATGCTAATCTAAAGGGGGACTCGCCAAGCACATGCAGCACTGAAACTGACAGTGGGGTGAGTGAAGGCTGTTCTGATAATGGCACATCTACTGAAGAAGATGAGGTGGACAATAGCAGTAAAGGAGGTAGTCAAGTGGATGGGGCCACAGCATCAAAGAAAGTGGAGCTTACTGAAGACATGTGCAATGGTGACCTGGCACAGGACATGAAGGTTAGATGGACTGTAGTCTTGAATGCACCTCCTCCTTCCAGTGTTACATTTCTTTGTGCTGCAAATTGCATTGCATAAGTTTGTTGCAAACATTCATACCTCGCTATGTTTTGACTGACAGTCATGAACATTACTATGGCCCACATGCCTGCTTAGGATGAGGTTGGAAGAGTTGTTCTGTCAGTTTGTGTTGTTCAGTGAAGACAAGTGTAAGCTGCAAACCAGCAACCGTGTTATGGTCACTAGAGCAAAACTTAAATATATTCTTGACTAGTGTCCATGAATGTCAATGAGCGTGATTAACTTTTATTGTGGAACATTCCAGAAACCTTACTAAAAATAATATTCTCGACATGTACCAAATGCCAGACATCCTTTTTTATTTTTTT